CCCTGCAGCCTCAGCCAACTGGAAACAGCAGTAGCTGAGGGACATGGGTAAACTCGCAGACAGGCTCTCCTTATTCAAATGCTAAATATCCTTTTGAATTTTCTAGGCAGCCTCTCTCCCCCAGTTCTACTCAGCAAACAAATGAGGATAAATGGCTCAACCAGAAAGCTTGCTCAGTCTTATTAATAGTCAGTAGTTTTAACGGGTGATGTGGTTTTATTATCTGCCTGAAAGTAAATCTGTGAAATTTTGGAATAAATTTAAAGACCTCTTGTGGTCCACCCTAGTGATTTACATGTAGGCCCTGCTTACATGAGAATGCTTTCTGGAATCACATTGCCCCCCCTCTGTTTATTGTAGCGAATAAACATAAAAAGGTGTTTATATTAATCTGTGAAAGTTTCCATAAGGTGCATGCAGTCTGGAGCAGGAGAAACAAAGCAGTTGCATCCAAAAKGGTGAATACAGGAACCTTTTGTTTTGGATGAGATTTGGTTGCTCCTACACTTAGCAAAGAGGACAGATAGAACTTTACCATCGGCTGTCGCTCACCTGCTCACGCAGGTGCAGACAAACCTTCAGCTGTGGGTAGAGCTCACACCTGGATTTAAACACCGTCRGTTTCAGAGAGAACGAGCCCTGTCGTCGTGTTTACAAAGGGCCAAACTGCAGCAAGAAATCTGGGTGTCACTCAAAATCTGTGTCGTGTAAACGAGGCCTTATTTAGATTGCATTGGGTTTTTTATTTAAACAAGCCTCTATATTTGTCTTTAGGGCTTAGTCTGCTTAGTTAAACACCAGAGCAAGTGTAAAAACCAGTGTTGATGTTTTTCAGATTGATTTGTGGTGTTCCACTCTTTGCAACATGTCTGTCTGCATTCGYACCCTCGTATTTTCCAAACCAAGTGCTTTTTTTTTTGAGTTTGGGATTTTCAAACTGCACTGTCAGTGTGATCAATTTAAGAAAACTCAAGTAGCATTTTAACTAACAAACCAAGCCTTTAACTGAGTACAAACACAGGACCAGTAGCTMTGGAAGTGGTGAGTTTAGTGCGATGAGTTTATGAGGTTTATTATTTTTTAATAAAGCGTTAGTACTAGCAGGCTGTACGTGATGCTTTAACTGCAGGCKGTCGAGTTGAGCTTTGAATGTAGCTTTACAGGAAGAAAGGTAAGATCCCTCTTATGTCCGCTTGAGAACAACAGTGTAGAACTGTGGGTGGTCCCTGGCTCGTAGGACGAGTAGCCAGAGCTCTGTGACGCTTTACACCCACTGCTACACGTCTACGCTTTTATGGCATCACAGGCAATTTATTAGAAAACATGGGAGGAAAAAAAACATGCTTACTGTAGACTAGAGTCTGTTTAATCTTGTATTAAATGAAGCAGGTGGTGATGACTGATGCTAATTATGTGAAGAATTTGTTTGATGGAAATGTTTTAATTGAATCTGTTAGGTTCATTTAAATCAGACCCAACATGTTGGTACATCATAGAAACAAGAGAAGGGAATGACGGCTAAATAATTTTTAAATGTAATTTTGTGACCATTAGGACTGTTCAGATTGAAATATTCATATTTAGGTCTGATTACTGCCGATGTGCTTACATTGTTTTAATTTCTCATGTCTGAAACATGTCATTTGATTTTTTAACTGTGATTTTTTTTAAGGTTAAGTTCTCCATAGACTACATATAATGTTTCAGTAAATCTGTATGTTTTTGAAAACAAAACATTAGATAAAAATGTTTGTTACCTAGCTTTATCTGAGACCATTTTGTACMTTTATATTGAGTTAGACATTTCAGACCATATTTATGGTTTGTAGTTTATCTTGTATAAGATAGGAATGTTTTGTKCAGACCTTTGGAGACTCGTGACATTTCACAAAACCAACAAAACCTTTCTGTTRGAGTGCAAAGGGCAAATTTTGTCTGTCCCAAATGGATCAATATGGTTTCAAAAGATTTAAATAAATCCCCCTTTTTTAAACACTTCTTTCTGTTTTTTAGAATTAAAACAATATTTGCTTAAAAGTAACTTTATACCTTTTTCTCAAAATAAATCTGCTTCTCCTTTCCACCGGCAGTGGTTGTACAACAAATTATTTTCTGTCTTCTGCTCGACCACTGTCAAATATTAAATTTCTGTTGTTGATAAATACGTTCCAGTCACGCAGTTTGACACTCGATGAGAGTGTCTGTAGCTCAAGAATAGAGGCTGCCTTCCAGGCCAAGTGTCAGTGTTTTGAAGGCCAGCCCAGACAAGTGTCCCTAAACAGGAAGATCAGTGTCACATAAACTCTATTAAACCCAACTAGGTAAAAATCACTGCAAACATAAAAAAGAGCAAAACAAATATGGCATAAGAATTGATGCTTAAGTGTTTTGAGAATGAGACACACTGCAAATCACTTTATAGATTGAAAAAATGATAAAAAATGGACTACTTTACCCCTGTGAGATGTCAAATTTCTTAAGTTTGACTCTGATTATGAAGTTCTGCTATTTTAAGACAGAAATTCTTAGTGCTGATTGTTTATTTCAGTATTGTTTTTTTCCCCTATTTCAGTATTCTTGAACATAAAGAATAGGCCTGTCACGATAACAAATTTTACTGGACGATAAATTATCTCAGAAATTATTGTGATAAACGATAATATTGTTGGAGACCAGTTTAAACAAATATAGTAATATAACCCCCATGTTTATAGAAGTTTACATTAAAATTTAGTAGTAGTAGTTGTAGTAGAAGTAGTGTATTCATTTAATTTGTAATACAAAATCAACAAAGTTAAAAAAAAACATACAATCAAAATGAAATGAAATGAAAGGATGCAGAAGAAGAATATATCATAATATCTGCCCCTTTTTATACCCGAAATATGTTCAAAAGAAAAGTAAAATACAATAAAAATTCAAAACAACTTAAAACACTTAAAAA